CATTTCTCACTAAATACCTCAGATTTTTCTACCCTAGTGTACCTACATTAAGAATAAGTATAGAAACCGGTTTGAAAATATAGATTCCGATCTCAGGCTTGAACTATCCAGTATCGAGCTTGAAATAGCAAAACTCGTAGCAGCAATGCTACATCAGCCTCTGCATTAATTAGTTTTTATTGTATATGTATTATTCGAGATATTTTTGTACCTAATCTTTTGAAAAAATAAACTTTAGTGTTGTGGTAATAGGTGACTATGTATATAAACAAAATAATAATCATATTTATAGAGTAGATATAAATTATATGTTTTGTTTGAGTAGCCACACAATTCTATGTACTCCTTAAATCTGATCTGTAACCGGTTAATTTATGGTCTTTTTGGTAAATGAGCAAATTCAATTGCATTGTTGTGAAAAAATTTAATTATTAAAATTATTATTTTTATTCATAAGCTCCCAAGCTCCGTGGGTTCGCAGATTATTTTTACGAGGGTCCGCGTGCAACAAAAGGTTAAGAACCGCTGTTGTAAATTATTTGAGTAAAATAATTTAAATACTTTTATTGGTATCGAATACATCGAAGAACAAATAATACATAATACATACCTATTATTGAATACAATCCACTGGTTTCAGAAGTTCAGGTATGTAATTCTCGTAAAATCTTCAAACACGAATGGCGAATTGCACAAAGCGTCTATCACGGTTATATAAAAATGTGTGTTTATAATATAATATCTGTGATTCACGTGCACGATTATAAAATATGATAATAATATTATTAATATGATATCATAACACAGACTTCTATACTAAATAATATATATAGAAATCTGTGTATCATAATAACTGATAAGCATGCCGGCCATAGATAATATCACGGACTAAGGTATATCTTAGTCCGTGGATAATATTATATTATCTAGATGCCGGCACGTCCGGGCAGCATATTATCATTCTGTGGACGGTCTCGGCACCTATAAACTTCTGATTATATAGACTTCTGATTGTTCTGCACTTGGCAGAAACCACGGACTAAGATATAATGGACTGGAAACGAGCAGCTTATCATGGCCACGAATGTATGTACAAGAGGCAAAGTGCGGGGGGTCGCTATCTGTTCTTGGAGTTCACAGCGCCCTCTATATTTAACACGGACTAAGATACAAATTGTGTAGCCAAATAAAACCACCGGTAGCGCTGAAAACTTCAAGAACAGTATTCTTATCAGCTAAGTGACATCTTTTCGTGGCCGTCCCCCGATCCCCGCCGACCATGTCGTTTCCAGTCCATTATATCTTAGTCCGTGGCAGAAACCTTAGATCAATAGATCATATACAATTATCATATACAATATACATATTGTATATGATCTAAGGCAGAAACTGTTATCACTAATGTCTAATGAACATTCATTATTAGTATTTGAACCACAGAATATATATTAGAATAGTCCATAGCCATGTAGATCATCTCTAAATCGTGGTGGGAACTATACAAAATGTGTATACATAGAGATTCAGTCTTTTTCGTTGCGGCAGGCGATATATAAATAATATATAAAAAAAGTATGTTTGTCTATCTGTCCGTTGTGCATTCCTAAACATCTGGATCGATTTTTATGAAATTTGTTGTGTGTGTGTTTAAGTGGTTCCCGGAGCACCCCAGCCCCCCACCCCCTATTTGCGCCTATGAATTTTATTTGCCACTTTATTTTGCATATTCATAATTTAATAATACCAATGGCTGGTATACTATTGTACGCGAGGTGCGAACACAGTAATAACTAACAACAGTAGTCAGTAATAAACTAATGACACACTAGTACTAGTAATATTTACAATTTAACAAATTACCTACATTAAATAAAATATAACAAATTTAAGGTATAAGGTGATTTAATGAAGCGATAGTCGATAACGAAATTAAACAAATAATAAATACGTGAAGTCGTGAAATAGCAATAATGAAATGCGTCTCGTATACACAAAATGGAGTGGGGGGACCGGTCAACACGATCACGCGAGATACGGCCGCCGTGATTCCTGATTTCATTACAATTTCTCATTAAAAAGTTTGCACGTTTCCTTTAATAACTTAATTTCTAACAGTACAATTTCGATGATTTTTACAAAAGGATCATCTGCACAATTTTTCTGATTTTTTCCAATTTATTAGGTATTAATTGATTCAGTAGATAATTAGTTAGGTCCAATATGAAACAATTAATTCAAGCGATTGCTAAATTGTTGGTGCTAAGCAAATTATTGTGATTATACATTTTAGATTCTGAGCGGAGCGATGAATGTATTGGTTTTACAATGATGTATGTTTTTATATTTTTATTTATATTTTAGATTCTGAGCGGAGCGATGAATGTATTGGTTTTACAATGATGTGTGTTTTTTTTTATATTTTTATATTTTTTTTTGTGTCTGTCATCACGTTTTGGGACAGTAAAAGTGCTTCGATTTCCTTCAATAGTACCTTTTCTGATAGGAAAGTGAATCTAGTTGGTACTTTGGGGGGTCAAAAGTAAACATTTTCCAGTAGTTTTCACAAGCGCATGGAAAAACAACATAAAAATTAAGGAAAAACGGGAATTTTTACGCAAAATCGATTTTCCAAAAAATCGAATTTGGTTTTTGGTGTAGCTTTAAAACAAATGACCGTAGATACATGAAATTTTCACTGGTTGTTTATATTTGCATTTTCTATACACGATAACATTTTCAAAATATTTTGATTTATTTTGATCTGTTTAGGGACAGTTTCATTTTTCATTTTTTTTTAGTTTTTTTTCTAGAAATATCAATAAAATTTTATTTGTTGGTTGCGAAAGCTTGAAAATTTAATAGAAGGCTCCTAATATGTTGTTTCAAAGGCAGATGAAAAATATTAAAAATCCTTAGTCACAATTTTTTTTTATAAGCATTTAAAGTTCAAAAATTTACAAAATATGGAAAAATCACGAAAATTAGCAAATTATTTTGAGTTAAGAATTCGTAAAAATTTTTCTTTTTAAATCTAAGATTTTAAAATGAAACACAAGATTCCTTATAAGATTATCTACCTTTATCAATAAAAAAATCTCTACCGGACAGTCAAGTTAAATTTTTATGAGCGTTTGAAATTAAAATTTTTACAACATTGGATATTCACTCGATTTCTCATGTAGCGATTTCCTTATTTTGTTGTAATTCAAAAACGAACAACTGTAGATACATGAAAATTTCACTGAATGTTTAAATTAGCATTTTCTATACACCATACAATTTTGAAAATATTTTGACTCTTTTTGAGCTGTTTAGGGACATTTTCAGTTTTCAATTTTTTTTTTTTTTTTTTTTATAATTGTCAATAAAATTTTATTTGGTGGGCCAAAAAGTCTGAAAATTGAATACAACCTTTCTTATATATTGTTACAATATCAGTTGAAAAATTTTAAAAATACATAAGCACGATTTTTTTTTATAAGCATTTAAAGTTGGAATTTTGACAAAATTTATCAAAATCTCGAAAATAATCAATCGTTGGAATTAAAAAATTATAAAATGTTCAGTTTTTATAATTAAGAGTTGAAAATTTAAAACAAAGATTCTCTTAAATAATTCATACTGTAACCAAAAAATCTAAAAAATATATAAACACACTTATTTTTTACAGACATTTTAATTTCAAATTTGGACGAAATTACATATTAAAAAACCTAGAATAACTATTTTAGTTATTTTGTTGTGATTGAATAATATTATTCGTGGGTACTTGAAACTTCTAAAGTGTACTATTATATATCTATGATAGTATCACGGTTTTTGTTGATGTATAACGCGTTATAAGTATCTAATGGATATTGTTATATGATTAATTTGGAATTTATTATAGGTACCTATTATAGGTCAATTTTTTGTTTAATACCATAGATATGTATATAATATGCCTTATACATAGACTGACATACCATCACCGCTCAGAATCGTTTTTCTTATACAATGATATTATATCATTGAATTCAAATTTAATACCATCCATTATACAGTGACCCACTTGTAACCTACTGTACAGCAGAGCGACACCCACTTGCCCACCTTTTTATGTATTATATTATGTTGCTTTTAAATAACACCGCACCTTCCTCTTGCTCTTGCATCTTTTAACTAAATATTTTGTAAACAAGAATACTAAAATATTGAACTTCTACTGAAAAATATTGTTTTTTTTTTGTCATTTGTAATCATATTGTTATATAATTACCTTTTGCTCTGTGGTTGACTTGGGTTTTGTAGTTTTAATTATCAATTATGTATAGAACTGCTTAGGCTTACATACTATTTTTTACTTTTTTAAACTTTGTATCAATAATTTATGGTAATGTGATTACACGATTGTGACGAAATAATATAGATCGGAAAATTGAAAACATCATCATCGTCCATCGTCACCATCGATACCACCGATACACAAAAATGTGTTAATTTATATTTTTCACTTTTCAGGCATATTATTTTATCAAAAATGCATTTCAATGGAAGCGCAAAAATTCGGAATCTAGTTACAAATTATACTATATTTCTAATGACGTTGAGAATGGAACATTTATTGGGATTTTATCACGACCCGTAAGTACGAATAGTAAATAAATTCGTTGAATGCTAATAAGAACAAATTCAATGTGATGACCATTTTATTTTTATACAGCAAAACTTAAAAAGTACCTATATTGGTTTCAAATGTTTGTTTTATAAGCTGTATAAATTTTTATTATGTTTTAATGTGATCTACACTGAAGGTTCGGATATCTTAGACTATTCGCGGCCAAACATCTGATTGTTGATGTTATTTTTAAGAATCTTTATTTAATTTTAGGATTTTTTTCACCCATGAAGCTGGAAGATACATTATACAAATTGCACAGTAATATTAATTTCAGGAAGAAGGATATCCAGACCTCGTAGTTGCATACACTTTCCCGGGAAATGAAGAACAATTTCAAAGGATGCTGTTTAGTACTGAGTACATCAACTGGCAGAAGAAACCACTATTCCAAGCTGTACCGTTGAGGCTGAAGGCCATCGTAGAAACGATGATTGAGGAAAAGGGATTGAAGAGTAAACTATACTTCAATGCTGTGCTTAAGTGGATGCCAGCCGATGAAGCCGCCAGATTAGACTATGAGTAAGCTATGCTATTTTATGTTTTATTTATATAATTTTCAACTTCAGTATCTTATTTGATGGGAAAGTGAATCTAGTTGGGGCATTCAGAAGGTCAAAGTTTAAAATTCACAGTAGTTTTCAAAAGCACCAGAAAAAAACAAAATATAAATTAAGAAAAACGGGAATTTTTACGCAAAATCGGTGTTTGACAAAATCGATTTTTGGTTTTTGGTGTAACTTTAAAACAAAATAAATAACTGTATAGGTATATGAAAATATGTAATGTTCATTGATTATAATTATTCTAGAATTTTCTATACACTATAATATTTTGACTTATTTTGAACTGTGTACGGACAATATCAGTTTCCAGTTTTTTTCTATAAATTTCAATTAAATTTTATTTGATGGGTTATAAAGCTTGACAATTTAATACAAGGACTCTAATATATTGTTACAATGACAGTTGAAAATTGTTAAAAATTAATAGTCACAATTTTTTTTTTTATAAGCATTTAAAGTTTGAATTTTGACAAAAGTCGTAAAAATCACGAAAATTAACAAATTATTTTGAGTTAGAAATTCATAAAAGTTTTCATTTTTAAATCTAAGATTTAAAGTTTAATACAAGATTCCTATAAGTTTGTCTACCATTATCGAAAAAAAAAATGTCTAAATAAAAAAAGTTAAATTAAAGAAAAAACATACATCATTGTAAAACCATATTATTCATCGATCCGCTCAAAATCTAAAATGATTGCTGTTCTAACACGCCAAATATACAAAAAGTATTAATTAGTTATATATTAGTCATACGTGTAATTTACATGTTGAATTATTGCTGTACATTTATTGTAATCGTGTTAGTATACATTTAAGCAATAAAATAATACAATGTCGTAGACGAGTATAAATCACGGAAAACCTTTTAATTAAATATTTAAAAATTTTCAAGATCGTAGTAGGTACCTATAAATACTATAGTGGAATTAATAACTACCCATGACAGTATTGGACTGGGTTCAGACGTTTGTTGGCACTGTTTTTTACACGTGCCTCATACAAAAAGCAATTCGAGTCTATAACTTACTTTAAAGTAAGATCATTGTATTGATAAATATAGATTTGAATTCAACGTAAAATCATGAGATCGATCAAACAACTATTTTCAATTTGAAATCAATTTCATTGTGATTAAGGAGTGCAATTCAAAAGAATGGCCTGATTGACCTCATGTTCATTTTACGTTAAACATTTTCACAGATACGTCCAAAATAGATAATATAAAATAAATAAAAACGTGTGAAAAGATTAAAATCACGATCTAAATTATACTATATATATTAATATTTAGTAGGTATAGTATATTAGTTGATATAATAGATTATAAGTACGCAATACAGCAATAATATTGTCTAGGAACCTATACTATTGTGTATATCCTCACAAGTTAAAAACTGAACTTTGTCTTTCATACAATTATATAATAATATAACAATAAGTTTCGAAATCAAAGATCATAATATTATAATTTAAATATTTTGATTACATTATGTACCTTTACCTACCTATAGGCTATATGTATTACTGTATAATGTAAAGGTACATAATGTAATAATTATATATATACTCCTTAATCACATAAAAAACTGATTTAAAATTGAATACAGTTGTTTGATCGAACTCATGATGTTACGTTGAATTCAAATCTATATTTATCAATACAATAATCTTACTTATAAACTCGAAATGCTTTTTTAATTTTTTAGTATGTGGCAAGTGTGAAACCCAGTCCAATACTTTCATGGGTAGTTATTAATTCCACTATAGTATATTATAGGTACCTACTAGGATCTTGGAAATTTTTAAATATTTAGTTAAAAGATTTTCCATGATTTATGGAATAATTAATATATTATATATTTATTATTTACGACATTGTATTTTTTTATTTTATTGCTAAAATGTATACTAACACGATTACAATAAATTTACAGCGATAATTCGACCTGTAAATTACACGAATACTTAATATAAAACTAATTAATATTTTCTGTATATAAACTTATCAATTTTGTTAAAATAAAAGGTGTACTTACCTCATTAAAATATGAATTTTAATTTCTCAGTTCAAATTCGGTTATCTATAATTTTTTTTTGTTTCTAGGATTCCAGAAGATGTTTTTATTGACCAATTAAGCGTGGATCATATAGACTTTATTTATTCGCTATGGACTCACAGCGACGTTTACCCCAAGTCCGACCTTTGGGATACAGTAAGGTTAAACATTGGTTTAGGTGTATTCAGTCAGCTTAATGGCGAGCTATTGGCGTGGGTCATGTGTGGCAGTTATGGAGGTCTTAGTACTTTGATGGTTCATCCAGATTACAGAGGACGTGGATTTGGTAAGTTGATTTTGTTGGCAGTCACAAAGGTAATGGGTGAGAATGGCGTCTCTCCTTATGGACTTATCAATGAAAAGAACAACGTTTCGTTGGGTCTATTTAAGAACGTTGGCTATGTTAAACATTCAACGCCATTACCTTGCATAGAAGTCGAAGACCCGGATAGTGGGCCATAAATACCGGGACAATGACCTTGGCATTTGCCCCAACGGTTGGATTCAAAAATATACATTATTCGTTTAATGAAAGTTTGAATTCCACTAAGTGAGAAGAGACCACCATAGCAGTACCAATGACTGCTAATACTATAAAGCTTGAAGAATAATGAAATTTTTTTTTTTTTTTTTTATTTTAATCATACTTTTTAATTTTATATTTATACGAATTAAAATGAATTTATTTTTGTTGAAAACGTTGCATTTTATAATGTCATTGTGTCGATTTGTGTTATCTAATATCAATAAAATATTATATTATATCAATATTATAATACCTAGGTATGTTAAAAGATCATGTATTTTTGAATAGGCAATAGCTATATAGTTTACAGATAAAAACAACTTATATATTATTAAGGAACCTGCAGCTTGTATTAATTTTCCAATCTTTTTGAAAATTTAAAATGTTTAATAATAGTTTCAAAAGAACGAAGATTATACCATGCACTTATAGAGTAAGAAATAATAAAAATTTGATGAAAATGTCAAGTACCTAGATTATTCGTTTTGAAATTACAACAAAATAAGGAAATCGTTCGCTTAAAAATCCAATTTTGTTAAAGTTTTAACTTCAGACACTCATAAAAAAATATTTGTAGAATTACGCTCAACTTTATTTTATATTTAAAGTAATAACTTAAGAGGAACCTTTAATAGATTTTCAAAACTTAGGCACCTATGAATATTATATACGTTATGCCTTATGCATTTATACCAACAAAATAATTTACAAATTTTCGAGATTTTCAATTTTGACAAAATTCTAACTTTAAACTCTTATAAAAAACTTCTGTAAATGTACCAAACACTGCAGCGGTAGCAGTGGCTGTAAATGCAGCGGGACAGTATTTAGCGCACTCCCCCTTAAGACAGCCCCTACAGTGTGTAGCCGGTAGATACCATAATAATATATTTTCGATATTTCTATATAACTATATAAGTATTAGTTATGATACTGTAGCATCCTAGGGGAGCACTAGTCAATCACTGTCTATAAAATTATAAAATATAAGTGATACGTAGGTCGTAGGTAGGTATAGCCGTATAGGTACTCAGTAGAATTTAGTTAGATACAGATATTTGTGGTTTTAGACCATTTAGTGATCACCGATGAGTGAGGTTCAAGAGGGTGGCGAATCGCGATGTGGAATGACGATTGCTTTGCGCTGCATTCTATAGTGTAGGACAGCGGTTCCCGAACTTATTTACAATCACGGCACCCTTAGGGTTGTTTCGTGTTTTGTGAAACTCCAATGTCTGTAATACCACTAAAACGAATATTTTTTAGCAATAATATTATACTAGTAACTATTATTGCGGTGAATTTTTTTTTCCAAGTATAATATAAAATAATTTTCTCAATATTCACATACATCTGGCGGAACCCATGAGATTATTTCACGGAACCCTTTGGTTCCGCGGAACACACTTTGATAATCGCTGGTGTAGGACACTTATGTAGGTAGGTTAGTAGGTAATAGTTAGTACATAATATATAGGTATACCTACGTCCTACTACATGATGAAGAATAAATTATTTCGTCATGGGGTATAGTATAAATAATAAATAATATAATATGATAGTCCCGATGTAGAGAAGTTATCTTCTGTAGTGGGAAACCGTGATTATAGGATAGAGTTATAGACACAGAAATACAGAATAGACGAAATATTGAAATTTCGAATTTCATTCATTCTATAGTATCAAACTAGGTATCAAATACTATATAATAATATGGAACAACTATAGTATCAAAAATCGCGACACATATCCCCTGAGCAGGTGACGAACTTGCTAGGATTGTAATGAAGCGCATTCGAGTATTTTCGGAGGGCGAGTAGACGACATCAAATCGTCTACAATAAATTTGTTGAAGTACACAGATATGCAGAAAGTAAAGGTAAATAACAATAAGATCGGATATAATATATAATATAATAATAAGTGTACTGATATGATGTACCTACAATAGTGTTATGAGGAGCAGGCGTGAATCTAGAAATGAAAAAGGGGGGGCTAGACAAAAAAAATTCACTTACAGCAGAGGTGTATTGGTACGGATACGAGGGTATTTTCGATTTTCGACGTTACCCAATGTAAAATCTCTTTTTACGGGTATACGCTCCTAAAATAACCCGAAAACCAAATAAAAGTTAAAACTTATTTGATAAATATTAGTTCATAAGAAAAAATTATTATGATGTTTTAATGAATTATTTATCGATTGAAGTATGAATATAACAATATGCGTTGGGTTTAATGTATTTTAAGTTCAATTTAGTTTAAACTTTCAAGAAACTACAAGTGTGTAAAATCAATTATCTCTCAATTATCATGGTGTCGCCGATTACATTTATGAAGGCCGGATTCTCTAATGATGAGTTCGGTCATATAGGAAGCTTCAGGCGTCAAATGTATATACACCCTGAGCATAGTGACAAAATTCCGGGTTCCATTCTGTTACAATTTGACCAAACTGAATACCGCATATTCCTCTCTGACGATACAGTGACCTGTTATTCGTGCAAACAAACAGGACACACTTCCAACCACTGCAAAAATACAATAGAAAATAAAGCCGAATCAGTACACCTCAATAACACAAACGCCAATACGGTTAGTAACGACATGGACCACAATGAACAGATAATACAAGATACCGTTGGCGACACCAATGACACAGATATAAGCGTCGAAAATAATACCAAGGAAACAAATACCATCACCCACACCACACAAAAAGCTACCACTCAAGAAAAAAGGCCTGCACCATCAACCTCGAATAGTAGCTGTCATGAGAACACCTCTATCCCAACACCAAATAACCCCACACCACCACCAATAGAAACTACAAATATACGGAAAAACACCGGTTCACTCGCAACCAAATTAAAAGAATCTGTCAAAACCCCCCAACCTCAGCACAAAAAACCAAGGCGCTCAAATTCAATTGAACTTATAATACTCAAACTGGATGAAGCATTATTACCAGCAAAAACTGCTTTTGAGAAAATACCCAACCTAAAAATTGACTTTAACCAACTAAAACATATTATTGAAAACACACTCACTGGACAAGATCCCTCCAGTGTTTTAACACCATTCAATATATCATCCATGGAAATGATCGAGATCTTGGAGGCAGTCCGTCCCAAAATCAAAAGCATCTGCATCAAGAACAGACTCTCGAGTCTAGCCAATTTACTGCTCGAATTGACCCCCCTTTCCGACTTCAACTAACTCACCACAACACAACAATAATAATTCTCATTCATTGTATACATTGCATTTTAAATAAAGTATCCTAATATGAAGAACCTGAATATAATACAATGGAATATAAATAGTCTCACTAAAAAACGACCGGATCTACAATTAATAATACAAAAATATTCACCCATGTGTATTAGCCTTCAAGAAACAAATCTTAAAAACAATCTCATACCCAATATCAAAAACTACAATATATTCTACACCAACCGACAAAACTGTATTCGGGCTAGCGGAGGCGTCGCCTCTCTAATACACATTGACTATCCCTGTGAACAGATTCCTATCTATTCCAATCTAGAAGTCATCGCAGTTCAGATAACACTAGAATCAAAAATTTCAATATGTAACATATACGTCCCTAATCAAACATCTTTTAACACATTTGATATAGACAACATCATCAAACAACTACCCAAACCATTTATTTTACTAGGCGACTTCAATAGCCATAGCGAATATTGGGGATCAGACAGATCAGACGCTCGAGGCAAATCAATTGAAAAAATCCTAGATGACGACTCGATTACACTACTTAACAATGGCGAACCTACCAGACTTAATCCGTCAAACGGCCATTTTTCCAATATTGACCTATCCTTCTCAAGTGTATCGCTAGCTCAAAAAATATCTTGGTCTATTATACACGAAATATATGACAGTGACCACTTACCTATTCTAATGACACTCCTTTCCACAAAAACACTAACACCCTCCCTCTCATACAAATGGAAGCTAAAAAACCCGGACTGGTTTTTTTTTAATACATTAGTTGACTCCTTTATGCAAGTAAACCCCCAATCCGATACCAGCACAATAGAGGACGATACCGCCTTCATCTCAGAGTCCATTATCAGAGCTGCAGAAGTTGCTATAGGAAAAACAACTAACTCTTTAAAAAGAAATCTAGTCCCTTGGTGGAATGACCAAATAAAAGAGTCAATCAAACAAAAAAACAAAGCACTCAAAACCTTTCAAAGCTCAAAAAACATGTCTGATCTCATAAAACTTAAACAACTGAGAGCGAAAACGCGATACCTAGTTAAAAGAAGTAAGACTGACTCTTGGAAAACTTTACGTCCTGTTTGGGACCCAAAGCTGACTCCGCTCTGATATGGCGCAGAGTTGGGTCACTTCGAGGCTTCTCCAAGAACCACAACATTCACATCATGAAAGACACAAAATTATGCACCGATCCCGACGAAATATCCAATCTATTAGGAGATTTTTTCTACCATAACAGTTCGGATGAAAACTACAATACGACTTTCTTTAAAAAAAACGTACACATGAGGAACCAGAATTTAATTTCTAGCATCAACCCACACCTTGATGAACAGAAAAAACTCAACTCCCCAATTCAGTTGATTGATATGTTCAGAGTTCTATCCAAATGTAATAGTCTTGCCCCAGGACCAGACGGGATACCTTATAAATTTATCCACAACCTCCCCATGACCGCCTTAAATGCAATTATTCGAGTATACAACAAAATATGGTCATCTGGTCATATACCTCGAAATTGGAAGCACTCTATAATTATTCCAATTCTTAAACCGGAAAAAAACAAATTTGATACTAAATCATACAGACCAATATCCCTCTTAAATACCTTGGCAAAGATATTGGAAAAAATTATAGATTATAGACTTAGATGGTTTCTTGAAAAAAACAATTTCTTGGATCCTCGCCAGAACGGCTTCCGAAGACATAGAAGTACCACAAACTCATTACATGACATTCAAGAGGAAATACATTCAACACTCGAAGCTAAACAAATGATGGGCCTCATAGCTCTTGACATATCAAAAGCGTATGATACTACCTGGCGCCCACGTATTGTTAAAATATTGTCAAACATTATCTGTAAAGGTAATTTATTCAACTTTATACAGAACTTCCTTACCGACAGAACCTTCCAGGTGAAGTGCAACGGAAAACTATCGAAAATATATTCTCAAAAAAACGGCGTACCACAAGGATCCACACTATCGGTATCGCTATTCTTATTAGCGATTAATGATATACCACTAGTTATACAACCCCCGGTTATGTGCACACTATTTGCCGATGACTTCAACATATTCTGCAGAGGCATCAATACAAATAGAACTATAAATTACCTGCAGAATGCAATAACTGCACTACAAGACTGGTCTCTTGTCTCGGGTTTCTCTTTTTCAGTCGAAAAATCACAATGTACTTTCTTCACTAATAAAAGAAATGTTGTTAACACCACCATATATATGAACAATATTCCCATACCAATTAAAAAGTCCATAAAAATATTAGGTATACTGTTCGACTCAAAAAACACATGGATACCTCATCTCAAGGCTATCCGAAAGGAGTCGCTCATAAGAATCAACACTCTGAAATGCTTCGCTCACAAGTCATGGGGTAGCCACTCTTCCAGCCTACTACAAATATACAAGGCACTCATCCTATCTAAGCTCGAATACAATTCTTTTCTGTTCATAAAAGCTAAGCCATCTGCACTCAAAATGATAGACACCGTTCACAACACAGGCTTAAGACTAGTCACCGGAGCTTTTCGCTCCAGCCCTATCCCCAGCGTCCTCAACATAGCCGGAGTCGCACCACTCGACATCAGGAGGGTACACAACACCATGTTGCTTGCAATCAGACGCACCCAAAACAATCTCAAAGTAGCGAAACAAATCACGGACTCACTAAATGATACCCATTTTCCGTACCTAGATGTTATTAAAAATGAAACCCCTCTGACGGCCCCCTGGCTATTCAACAACCATGTAAACAGTGAACTTAGTGAACTAGTTAAGAATGATACCTCACCCATAGTTTTTAACCAACATCTACAATCAATCACCTCCGATCTCTGCGACCACACTGAAATATTCACCGACGGCTCCAAAACGGATATCGGTGTTGGAGCTGCAGTAGTAGTTAAAGACCACGTATCAATGCTGAGACTCCCTAATTTCTGCTCAATATACTCAGCGGAGGCAACGGCAATTTCTTACGCCCTAGACCTCATCAAAACAAGACGCATACTCAAAGCAGCTATTCTAAGCGACTCGCTAAGCTCTTTAAGGAGCATAGAAAACCCCTTCACTCCAAACGAAATCGCCAGAAAAATTCAGAATCAACTGCATAACCTCACAAGTTCCGGATACTCCATAATCTTGATATGGATACCCAGTCATAGTCAAATCACGGGAAACGAGAGAGCCGATGAAAACGCTCGCCAAGCAATAACATCCCCGGACGCTATAAAACTTAATGCCTTTACTCTACACGACGCTAAATCTCTATCTAAAACAATCACAAACAACTTATGGCTCCGGACTTGGAGACTAGGTTCTACAAAACTAAACGAGTTCAAACACACCACCCTAACATGGCCCTCTCCATCGAACACATCCAGGAAAATAGAGACGGCAATCAACAGAATGCGAATCGGACACACAGCGCTAACCCACCAGCATCTGATGAGGAAGGAAGACCCCCCCCATGTGTACAAGCTGCGGCACCCAGCTCACAATCAAGCATATTATATCTGAATGCCACCAATTTGAGAGAGAAAAACGGGAAGCAGGAGTTTCATGCATTCTCGCCGAAGCCCTTCAGCCAGCCAACATCCAGAACACGATATCATTTATAATCAATTCTAATTTAATCAACCTACTGTAAAATAACATGTGTATTAATATTAAGTAACTACCTTCCAATGTAACCCCATAAATTTGTAGTAGCCAATGGCCCTAGATGCCGAGGCTTTTATTAATAAAAAAAAAAAAAAAAAAAAAAAAGTGTGTAAAATGTATAACCCGTAATAGGTGTATTGACAACTGGTGTCCATTTTAATTTTTCAATTCAAATAAATTGACTTTTTAGTTTTTAAATATAAACGGTTCACCTCTGAATCAATGGAACCCAGAAGTATATGTTAAGTCATGGCCGATTAGCCAACAAAAACGAATGACTGTAGATACATTAAAATTTTACTGAATGTTTATATTAGCATTTACTATACACGATAACATTTTGAAAATAATTTGACTGTTTTTATGTTGTTTTTTTTTTATAAATACCAATAAAGTTGTATTGGTTGGGTAAAAAAGCGTGAAAATTTAATGCAAGGCTCCTGATATATTGTTAGGTACAATACCAGTTGACAAATATTAAAAATACATATTCACAAATTTTTTTTATAAGCATATAAAGAACGAAATTTGACAAAATTTTTTGACCAAAAAAAGTATTGAAAATTTAAAACAAGATTCCACTTAAGTAGTTAATTCTGTTACCAAAAAATCTAAAACATACATAATCACAGTTTATTTGTATAGTCACTTTAAGTTCAAATTTGGACGAAATTACATATTAAAAAACCTAGAATAACTATTTTAGTTATTTTGTTGTGATTGTATAATATTATTCGTAGGTACTTGAAACTTCTAAAGTATACTACTATATATCTATGATAGTATCACGGTTTGTTATTGATGTATAACGCGTTATAAGTACCTAATGGACATTGTGATATGATTAATTTGGAAACTATTATAGGTATCTATTATATGTAAATTTTTTTTAATACCATAGATAAGTATATAATATGTCTTATATCTAGACTGACATACCGTCTCCGCTCAGAATCGTTTTTCTTATACAATGATATTATATCATTGAATTCAAATTTAATACCATCCATTATACAGTGACCCACTTTTAACCTACTCCACAGCAGAGCACCTTTTTATATTGTTATTTTATATTTTTTAAGATTCAAGTTGGTTTTGTTTTATTTTCTATTGTTATATTATTAAAAATGAATAAAATAATGTTAAAAGCTATGTACCTAATAATTGAATATTGCAATAATGTTATTTACGATAATATAATTTGAACTTAATATTAATTAGAAGTTCTAAATATATTGGGGCATAATTATTTTTTTTTAAAACGGCGAGAACGGCGAGAGAAAAAAAATGTTTAGGTAACATACATATTTTATTAGTGCGTACCTACATACCCATAAATATATTTACCAATACATCACTGATTTAAAGTAGGTACATAAAAGCATGGGCATTTACATGGGCTTTTATAAGCATTTAATTTTTCTAGGTAGAAATTGAATTAATTATATCTATTTATTTATTAATTTATTTAAACTAATAGGTACATTATATCTACGATGTATCAACAAATGATTAAATAATATTATGTAATATTTATTGAATAAAAAAATTACTTCAACTTAGTATTTATTACTAATAGTTATTGTATTAATTATATATTATATTAGGAACTTTTATATTATGCATGCATATTATATATATTTATAATTTATTATTTGATAAAAATAAAATAGAAAACATTCTTTAATAAAATAGATTTTTATGAATTAATTTAGCATGCGGCCTATTACCCCATTAGGTGCGCACTTTTACCCCAATAACGGGGTAAAAAGACGCATTTGTTATAATTTCTAATTATTCAGCATTTTTGGTATTTGCTTTGGTAAAATTAAATTTTGACATGAAAATCGAAATCTACGTAATATTTATGATAGGAAAACAATATAACAATATTTCTAAAACTTGTATGCTACCACATACCAGCTGTTAAATGTTAGGTGCGCCATTATACCCCAGGTTACTCTACTGCCTTATTCGTTGTGGATGTCGATTTGAATTTCGAACGAAGTCTTTCTTATTTTTTGAAATATTTTAAGTACCGGAGTCCTAGTCTAAGGGGGAGGCTTCAGCCCCCTTAACTCTAGGCGTGGATCCAGCCTACATTAACGGGAGGGGTGGATTATAAATATCTAAATATTTACTATTTACCCACTGGTAAATACGAGTATATATTTATATATATATTATAAATATGCAACAATTGCTCATTAATTACCTATAATGAATATTTTTTTTCAAACTGAATGGAATGTCTCTATTGAATTATTTATAATTTAAAATGTTTAGGACAAAACCCTATGAGCCGCTCAGCTGCCAGTCGACGGTCGTCGTCCCTCAATTGGTCATAATATTGTTATCAACAATTTATAAATGTGTGCTATTAAAATAAAATATTGACTTTGTGACTGAATAATACGGCCAACGGGGGGGGGGGGGCAGTATCCCCCGACTGGATCCACCCCTGCATAGCTGTTTTAGTTTTTAAATCGTTTGGGATATCAATCTTTTTAATATGCTATGAATGTTACACAACGTAGTGGGAAACTTTGATACCTCTATGTCTTAATTTGATATCAAAGTAACCCCATTTTATGAAAAAAAATTAAATTAAATTATAGCAGTACTCTGGTGAATAAAAATATAAGTGTATCAAAGTTATAGTATTATAAAAATGTATACTCAGCTTCTAAGGTTCCACGTAAATAGGTTATATTATATAAATTACTTTATTCACAATAATATCATCAAATATAATTTGGGCCCGTATTACAATCGTTAAACTAAGGTTTAAACTAAGTAATATCATATGCTGACTGACCGTTTTCGTTCAGAATCGTTTTTCTTATACAATTATATTATTCATTGAATTCAAATTTAGTACAATCCATTACAGTGATTCACTTGTAACATCTATACAGCAGAGAGACACCCACTTGCCCTCTTTATTTTTTTGAAACCTTGGTAAAAAAAACGTTTTAAAAATTATGACCCAAAAATAATTAATAACAATAGTAATATAGTATAAAATATAAATAATTGCATTTACAATTTAAATACAAGATACATAATACATTTTAAAAGCACATAGTAGAAATTCTAAGTGCAATATACAATTATTACCCGAAAACGTTCGACACTGCGCACACATCATTTGGGACCGGGTAATACAATATACAGTTTACACAATTCTGTCATCATAAAACAATGTTTAAAAAAAAAAATAATATAATTATTGTTTTTGTTTTAGTTAGTTTAAACTTTCTGAATGACTGGATACATTTTTTATTTAATATTTCGAAGCAGAATATTTGAATGGGAATTCCAATAAAATACATGTTAGTTTTATTAAAACTGGGTGAATAGAAACACTTTTGAACTTTGAAGTATCATACAAACTTTTCTTTTTGTGCTTTATAGATGATCAATACATAAAAATAATGGTCTTTTCGAGTACTTTAACTTATGTTCAGTCAAAATATTTATATTATTAACAGATTCATATTAACGTTTCATTACAAAATCATTAAAATAATAATGGTCGATCATTATATTATATGATTAACATTTAAAATACTCGAATTTTACTACATATTATTAACATAATATGAAGTTAGTATAATGGACACGTGTCAGTCAAGTTAAATGAGAATCTTCATTTTTTTAATGGTTAAACAAAACATTAAAGTTATTATAAAAATAATTGTACTGCAATTTATTTATTGAAATGTTGTTTAGTTCAGTTATCATATATCTCATTTTTATTCTTACGATACAATAATATTTTAATGTTCAGTTAGCTGAGTATAGTCACTTTAACATTTTTTTTTGCAATCTGTTGCTTAGGTACAGTAAATAATAAATATAAAATATAATAATTTATACAACCCGCACACTATAGCTGCTACAGGTAATACCAATCATTGGACATTGATACTATAGTATATTAGTAATTAGTGTATAATGTATACACTGTATAGTATTTATAATCAATATGATATATTATTATATATTTTAGAATATTGAATATAGATATATAAGTAGCGGTGAATTTATAGTTATAAAAAAGTATAGGAAAAGTTGGAAACATCTTTGGATGGCCCAAACAGCATTTAATGTGATGTACACTGTACACATGATTTTTACCGGAGTTGTTCGCTAGGCTGCAGTAATGCCCCTGAGAGGAGGAGTTATAGGTAATACATTTTAATAATGACATTTTTAAAACGACCTTAGGGCTTAGATATTTATTACCCATAATCAGGGCCGGCGCTATCTTTTGCGAGGCCTTGGGCAAAACTTATTTAACCAATAACCATAGTCACCTATATAGAGCATAGGACACGTATTTAAGCGTTGATTCTGATGTTTATTAATTAAAATAAAAAAAATTCTGTAAAATATGGTTCATCGATCATTCTTTAATAAACTGCAGTCGGCGGAATCAACATAAATAAATATCCGAAGGAATTGATATTAAAACGGTGAAATCGTTAAAACTTTTTTTTTTATTGGCTTTTTAAAGTGGCACCATATCATAAAAAAAAGAAAGTCATGGGTAATGATTCATCTATTCAGTCGAGTATAAATATTTGCATTGATACTTATGGTAGGTAAGTAATAGCCAATAGGTATAGATAATTTCCAAAATAGCCTAGTTAGCTATACTGCTTAGTCATTACCACTATACGATAAAATAGGCTATCCATTGGCTGTTCGTTTAACCGATCCATTTATTAACATAAGACACTAATTATTTCAAAAATTATAGTTACAGTTTATAAATGTTTAATAACAACAATATGCATTTTTCATTCTTTATTCCAGAACAGAATATTTTTTCAAGTAAATACTATAATATAATATATTATATAATATCGAATATATTGTACTATATTATTTGTAATTTGTATAATCTATAATATAATATTATTTATAGGCATATGGGCATATGGACGCTATACGTGAGCTCTAAATTCTAATTATGTTATATTTGAAATATTTTGGTGCGATATTCTTCGACTCGAATAACGATAACGACGTGTGCCAAATCGTTTACTCCGTTATACTATTTATCACTGGCATAATTATGGCGATTATGTCGCCCTACGTAGTACTCGAGTTTGATGACTGGTCAGAAGCATTTTCAATGTCTATGTCGCTGATAATATGTACTATAGTGAATATTTCTTCATGTATATCAAGAATGGTCTTTATATACAACGTCAAGTTTAAATATCAAAAGTATAAGACGACATTGGAGGGATTCGAGATTTACATACCAACGGACACCGTCGCATTGAAACACATCAAATATTTTTCTTTCTTCGTGATTTTCTTGTGCATGAGTTTTATCATACCTATAAATGGCTTAAAAATGTATTACATATTTAATAATCACGTCAATCCCATTTTGATGACGATGTATTTTTTGTTCTATTACATTCACAACCTGAGCATGGTGTGCACGGAATTGCACTTCGCCATCCAGTGTTTTGTGGTGTACACGAAGTTTCGAGATATACACGAGAAGTTAATTCAAATAAACGACGAACAAAACTACTACAACTACAATGTACGATATCCGTTTACTGTAAACCGAATGACTCCTAAGAGGAATGATGCTACGTCGCTGTGTGATATCATATACGAAAAAGATTTTTACTGTTCAAAGGACAAAGTAAGTCCATTGGCGAACACTATCGAACTTTTGAGAATTAAATATTGGTTAACTCGAGAAGCTGTGAATGACCTAAAAGGATTGTTTGGTTTTCAAATGGGTCTGTCGATCATTTGCATAGCGACATTGACATTATTCGATATTTATACGGAAGTATTTTATTCGAGGGCATACAGTGCATATTATATACCCGTATTTCGATCCAATTTTCTATTTATTGGGTGGATTTTACAATATTCTTCAAGGATTTGTACCATCGTTTTCACAGCAAACACTGCAACTAAACAGGTAAATCTTGTTCTAAAAAGTAGTTTAATTTTTATCTTCGATAGTATAATAATTTAATTTATTATTTAAGTACCTATTTCGATACATAAAAATCAAATTTAGAATGAGTATAGTTTATGAGATAAAAATGTTTAAAGTTTTGATGAGCGGAGTAGTAATCCAACATTTTGCGGAACCGTATATGTATACTAGTCCACTTCACTCATCAAAACCTTAAATACATTTTAACTTATACGATTTTTAAGTCATAAGCTACTCTTCCTAAATTCGATTTTTATGTACTGAAATACTTTAAAAAATGTTCGGCTTTGAAATATGAAATTATACTGCATGTTGTCATTTAAAAAAGTAAACAGTTGAAAAATTATGTATAAAAAATATGTAGGTTCATATTTTTTTTAAATATTGCTTTTCATTACTAGATATCATGTAAAATTTTTTTATAATGAGTGTTCAATATTCAATAATTATATATATTTTTACTATTGAATCCATTTTTATTATAGGTGGTTAAAATCAAAAAGCTTATAGCAGAAATGAACAACCGATACTTAGATTGTAGTACGAAAGAAGAGGTAAGATATTAAAGTAATCAATATGTAGTGCTCGAAGTGGGGGTGATACGGAGCCACGGAGGGATGGCATCCCTCTACTTTTTTGTTAGATGAAGAAGAGAAAAATGTTATGATGATATCAAGAAATCTGAATTATATAAGGCATCCCTCAACTTATCTTGAACAATTTCGACCACTGTCAATATGACATTGATGCAATAATATTTGTTGTTATTCTATAATACTAGCATTTTGTATTTAATTTACAGTTACACTTATTTTATTATCAACTATCCATTTGTCCATCGGAGTTTACCATTTTTGATACCTTCACTATAAACAATGGTATCATAACTTCGGTAAGTATGAAATATATCAATAATAACGAAAAATAATGTTACAAATAAAAATATATAATATTATATTGAATGCAAATTTCACCTATAAAAATCAAATTAAGGAATGAATACATTTAGCCAGACAATAATATTATTAAGTATTGGTACATCTAAACTAGTAAAATATTGTTTTGTTGATTTAATAATAGGCAATCGCTGCTGGGTCAACATACATCCTAATACTAGTACAAATTCATTCTGAAAAATAAATTTAATTGGAATGCATTTTTAGATGAAACTATTTATACAAAATTAAATTAAATACACTAATACACATAATATGCAAAATGTTATTATGATATACTTTTTTTCTTAACTGCGTAGTTTTATTGTTTTTGTATTTAATACTTAAATAATAAACATTATAGTTGATAAAAACTACAAAAAAAATATAACCAAATTAATATCCGATGTTTCTTAATAGTTTCTTGATATTAGATATTATCAAAATGATAAATATTATGAAAAAAAAAATTTCCCGAAAATTGAACAGACATTTAATGAATAGGTCTGTCGTTTCGTTGGAGGAATGAACTATCAACTATGATAAGTATCTTTATATAGTTAACACCTTGTTTTATCCGGTCTATTCTTTAAAAGTAAGTTTAGAATATATAAGGTTATAGAATGGTTAGATAGTGGGAACCGAAACGTGATGGGTGCAGATGGTGTTGGTATATTGTAAGTCTTAGCCTTAGGCTACTTGTTACCTCAACAGTGGTGGATTAATCCCAATTGGGAAAACATTTTGGTGAGGGAAAATATTGTAATTAGACCAGCGCACAGGTTTTCTTAACTTCTTGATGGACACATCTTTTTATATTAACTGATTTGTCTTTGATTTTTACACACAATGTTTTGAAATGTATTCATCTACTACATATACTAATTACTGGTTTATAAAATATACTATAAATTGTTAATTAATAAAAAATATAAAAACAATATCCCTAATGTAAACAATTTTCCATATTGTGCTATAATGATTCATTTTTATCTATTATTTTGTAAATATATAATTTAAATTTAATTGTCAAAACCCTCAAACAAAGCCTTACTGATATTTGCGATTTAAAAGGGAGGTGGATTTATAATATACTGATATTTAAAATGAGTAAAAGTTTGATAAAAATAAATATTATTTAGTACTTGCATTTTAAATCCATAAGAAAAAAAAACTTTTGGTGATATTTTAAATAATATTTTTTTTAAATATATTAAAATATAGGTACTACTCAAATACTTTTTAAAAGTATTTTTAAACAACACCGACACTGTTGATAAGCAAACAAATTGTATTAGCTCTCACTGTAATTGATTACAAGAAGTTGAAGTAACAGTTTCAGAAGAATCATACAAATAACTATACTCGCATTATTTATCATAGTAAGCTTTGTTCTTGGTTTTTGGGAAAAACGAAAGTGTATTATTACTTATTACTAAATCATTAAATAATATAATATACCTAATGACTAATGAGTATTCAATACCATCCACAGTTTTAGGATTGGTCTAAAACATTTATAATAGTTTCAATATAGGAACTTCATTTCATTTAAGTCTCTTACTCAACAAATAGGTAATATTTTTATTAGTGTGTTTAAAATATGTTATAGGTAGAGTATTAGCATAGAACGTATTAGGGTAGTCATACCATAATAGAAGACTGATTCAAATTCTTGTTTGTTCCAACAATTTTAAATTTAGGGCTGAATGGATGATGATATTTTTATTATTGTTTTTATTCACTATTCAAAATGAATTATTGATATCACACTCTGAACATCAACCACATTAACTATCTAGATAATAATATGATAATTACATATTATCATCACCTCAATATCCAATCACATAAAAAAATTATTTAATATTATTATTTATTAACAAATTATTAAAAACAATATTTTAATTGATTAATATATTTTGTAATGTCCACTATTAGGACTATATTATATCTATTCTGGGCAGGGGCGGAGTGGCCGGTCTGAAAATGGGAATTACTAAATTTAGCTTAGTTTTAAAGATCTAAGTATACAGACAGACAGCGGGACTTTGTTTTATACTATGTTAAGAAGATAACTGCGTTGTATAAATTTCTGTTTGTTTATTTTTTTTATTTGAAATTGTTATTTCTTTGATAGGCTGCTAGCACTCTTAGCCTGTTTATTCTTTTTTTTTTATATTGTTCTTTTATACTTATATATTAATTTATTGTAAAAATCATATTATCGTAGTATAGATATTGATTCTGAAATACATAATATATTAATATTTATTTATAAAAACAACAAGACTAAAAAAATATACCGACAATAGTTTAACGACAATATAGTCTTGGCACAGTAAGACGTTGCGTACGAGAGTTAGCCGTACGACGTACATTAAACGTCTGCGGTACCTTCACCTATACACAACTTGTAAAACAATATTTGCAAAAAAAATAATACTCTCATATATTTGTCATTGCGCCCAAGTGTAGAGGCAGGTACCTACGTTTTTGATTTCCATCTGCCCTGTCCGCGAATCGTGAACATATAATATTATAGATGAAGTTGTCATGTCGACGCGATATTGCTTGCAAACCGGTCCCGCAGTGTCAAAAATCCTTGAAAATGTCGCCGAACATGTCCTTGCTGGCGTCGTAGAACAGACGGCCGTGTTGCTCGTCGAAGTTTCTGGTGTCGAGGGTATCGCTGATGACCGGCACGTACGGCGGCGTCACTCGCCTGTCGAACGCCGAGCACCAGTCCTGGTCATCGAACCACCTGTGCTTCTTGATGTCCCGGATGCCGTTCGCCAGGTTCCCGTACCGCCTGGTCACGTCCACCTTGAGGATGTTCCGCAACAGGTTGATCACGTCGCCCGAGAAGCCTAACGGGCAGCTGTACGAACCAGTCACGATGTTCCTGAACAGCTTGCCGGTGTCGCGATCGACGAACGGCGAACGGTTAGCCAACATCTCGTACAGGAGAACGCCGATCGACCAATAGTCGACCGCTTTTCCGTATCCTGCGGAACGGCGGTGACGACCACAAAATAATACTTAACTGCGTATATATACACGGTTTACAACTTAAATTAGAATATAATAGTACATATATGAATTTAAAATCAAAACATTTCTGCATGGACTCAGTGCCGGATCTTAAACTCTTAGGGCCCGGGTACCAAAAAAAGTAGGGGCTCCTAATTTAAAAATTTTATACAAAAGCTACAAGTATACAACTATGTATGATAACTCAACAGTTACAAAAAAAATACAGTACAAAGTATAATAAAATGAATAGTATATTATTATTTACAGAATAAAGCCAGCCTCCAATAGTGAAAAGTTAAATGTTAAGATATTCTATTTTAAGAAATTTTTTTTCTTCGATTTTGCATTGGAAAAATTGTCAATTATCTTCTCAATAATATTTAGAATTTTAGTTTGTTCCTTTTTTATATTTAAAATTTATATACTAGATAAACGTTCTTGTTCACATGTGTTTCTTAGGTAATTCTTAATAAGTTTAAGTTTGGAAAATGATCGTTCTGCTCCTGTTACAGTGATTGGCATTGTCAGAAAAATTATACAAGCACTTAAAAAGTCTGGAAAACTACGTCTTGTTAAATCATTATTTATAATAAAACTACACAAATGTTTTATTTTTTTAATTTTTCATGTCTTATAGTACTCGATATCCCTAATATCGGGACACCCAACACCCAAGTATTTCATAGAGTCGGGGCCCCGGTGCAATGCTAAGCATGGTGTGCAGCAGGATTCGTGTGACATGATTATATCGATCACCGATTTCGGTATTTTATACATTTTAACAAGATTGTGGTTTTGCGAACTGGTTTAAAATGAAATTGTTCACTTTAGGTAGTTTGGTTTTAGGAACAGTTTTTAAAACTTTTAGGTTTTGGTTTTTAATTTTTTCTTTCACGGTAAGGTGTAAAGGCACCTACGGAATGTAAATGGTTTTTGTTATTTTTTATCCGGAAAAATATTATAATTTTAATATTTTATAGTTGTATTATGGCGGTCGGCTTTAGTTTGAAATTTGATATTGAAAATTGTCTTTTATATTTGCTATAGTATACTATCTTTTTAACATTTGTAATTTATCAAATAAATCAAAAACTTTGTAGATATAGGCAAGGCCGGATTAAGGGGGGGGGTCTAGCAGGGGCGAAAGCCCCGGGGCCCTTTCAAGTACCAAAATGAAAGTTGCCCAAACAATTTTAAGCTGATACACATTTTTCAGTGATTTTAAAGAATAGTTTTTCTATATTTTAAAAACCATTTTTTTTTTATCGACAAAAACAACTAAATAGTAAATACCTTTTTGTAGGAAAGGCGCATTTTATTGTTATTTAATAACTATGTTAGTTAATATTTGTTGTAAATAAGTATTATGTTAATAAATTTAAAAGTTGGTATGTAAATTTGAATTTAAATTAATGAAATATGAAGTATTAACTCTGTGGAATGATGGCAGAAGCTGATATGTACATTTTGTTAATTTTTCAATTATATCATTTAAATAGTTTAGAAATCGTATATTTCATTTTTAAAAAAAATTTTCTTCTATCATACTTAATAAGATATATGTCTCTATTATGTGTGTGGTGCCATTTATATTCAAAGACCAAAACTGATAAGTCATTAGGTATTTGAAAATATATGTAGCGGCAAAACTAAGTTTGTAAAATGTACATATCAGCTTCTGCCGTCTTTACTTTTATTATATTATTTATATTACAATTAGTGAATAGTGGTTGTATATTTTATAGACATATAAATTACATATACTTACCTATTCATTTTATAATTTTATAATGCAATTGCCATTTATGAAATAGTTAGAAAAATGTATCTTCCTGCGGGCGTAGCCAGTTTGTTTTAAAGCGTGCCTTGTCAAAAGGGCCCATATGAAATTTCAAGCCCGGGGCCCAATAGGTTCTTAATCCGGCCTTGGATATAGGTATTTAATTATTTGTATAATTATATTATTAATTGCTGTTTTAATTATTTACTCAAAGAGATTTGAAGAACGTTATAAACGTTCAGAATATTATTATAACAGAAAAAAATTAATAACTACCTATGCTAGGTAGTGAGAAACCTATCTATAGGTCGTAGTTAATTGTATCATCAAAGTAGGACTTAATGAATTATCATAACTGGAGGTGCTTAAATATCTACGCTTCGTTAATTATGGGTACATTAATAGGTATATAATGTTCATTATTAAGACAAAAAATAACTCATAGTATAAATCTGCAGAATAAATTATATTATTTTTATGTTTAATAGGTATATTCAGACCAACGACCCACAGAATTTTAATATACCTATTACCTATACCCACACACAATAGTTAAGTTGTTACTTGTTACAAGACTGTATGTACCTTCCTACTATATTGAAGTTGTGGAGGGTACCTACTTATCTAGAAATAATAAATAACAAGTTAGATAATTAATAGGCAAAATCAATCTGAAATCTAAATAATACTTTTCCACGATGTTTTTATTGTTTTACATCACAATGATAGTTAGGTTAATATTTAACATTATACTATAATATGCAGCAGTCTATATACCTACCTGTGTTATATCGTATATATTATATATTAATTATTAATATATACCTACATACATTTTTTACGTGGAGTTGAAGGCAGTGGTGGTAGAAAAAGCGTATGGGCAAGGTGGGCAGCTGCCCATACCAAAATTTCTGGTGTCCCTAATTGGGGAAGGGGGAGGATATGAGGAATATTATTAGCAGTTAAAACCTAATAATTATAAATCTACTGTTGCACATCCGAAAATGTAGTCCTAGAACCACGCCTGGTTGGGGGGGGGGTCATTAGAACAAGCACCTAACCAGCTGTGTTGAAAATAGGTGTACCAAATTATTTAGAAAGCTCTAAAAAAAGTGTGTGCGTGGTTTTTGGATGCATTTGTTTAAATTTATTTTCGGACTTTCCTACAGGATTTTTTTTTAAAAAATGCAATAGCGAGGTTATGTCCCTAACATCACCCCCTTGTTGATGGCTAACTTCTCTATGGTCTATACTATTATACCAATAAGGTTTTTTATTTACTAGGTATAACAAAGATAACCATGGTCTTATGGTACACGTATATATGAATCGCTAACTGCAGGAAGGCGATACTGTGATAGGTCCATTTTTTATAAATTTTCAGGAGGGACAAAAAACGAAATCATAACAAGTCCTTTTTCTGTAGTAAACTGAAATTTCCAAACACTATGTTTAGAGTTTGGATAGTCGGATTTGATTCATTTCTGCAGTTAGCGATTCCATACCATACCATATACGGTATAACACTTGTAGACTTGTATAGTATAATATCGTATAGGTACCTACTTCAATAGTTTAATGGGTCATTACGCCTTACCTCGTCTGAGTATAATTTCTGGCGCCAAGTATTCGGCAGTGCCACAAAACGTGAACGTACGACCCTTAACGTGTTTACAAAACCCGAAGTCTGCGAGTTGAGCATGCCCGTTGACGTCGATTAGTACATTTTCGGGTTTGATATCTCTATGCACCAAGTTTAACTTGTGCAGGTATTCGACGGCCAGAAGAACTTCGGAAAAATAGAACCGCGCTTTGCCCTCGTCCATCGGTCCGTGGCGTTTCATGTGAGTGTGAATGTTACCACCGCATACGAACGGCATGACAAAGTAAATGAAACTGTTGTCTTGGTAGAAATACTCGAGGCGAATGACAAACGGAAAATTTATGGACTCCAAGATCCGTTTCTCATTAAGCATTCGATGCACCTAAAATAGACGCATATATTAGGTGATAAACGGAAAATTGGTGCGGTCTATTGTGTTTTGAATAAAATAAATGAAATAGGCGGAATATTAGAAAGTAGGTACTATAAAATATTTTATTTTCAGTGGTTCAAAAAATGTGTCCAAAATTAAATATAAATTCACAGTAGTTACAACAATAGTTTCCTTATAGTATTTAGAATAATATCCACTGTCATTACTTCTTTATTTAAATGACTAATAATAGTTTGATGAAGTATTTATGTATTGAAGTGAAGATATATTTACTTTCTTCCTAGGCGTTAAATTATATGATTTATGACGTATCCTTTCAATTCTATCGTATTCTTTCAAAACATTTCATTATACAAACATTTTGGGGACGTGGTAATAAGCTGAACGTTGCAGTTGCAATAGGTCGTATGAAAGTATAAAACCCATATACAATATCTTTAATCATCGTTATAATCGACATTGACATTTGTAGATTTTTTTACTTCTCTAAAATACCATGCAGTACTTACTGATCTTATGAATAGACACTTTAAGATTATTTTTTATTATATATAGTTTAAGAAACCCTGAATTTTAACGACCGTTCCAAATTTTTCGACAATCATATTCGGTGCTTGAATTGCAGTGACGCAAGGGATGGAGTACCCCGTCTTTTTAGAAAATTATTTTAACGTACTTTTTATTCTATAATTATTATATCCTGATCAATAAGAACTTTAAGTACCTACGCATTTTTTTTTATATTTTTGCATCCCCTTCTATTTTTTTTCAGTTCAGGCACACTAAACACAATATACATGACGTATATATCATTACAAATATTAAATACTATATACAGGCACCAATATAAGTATTATATAGGTATGTAAGCGTAAGCTATAGGTAGGGGGACATATCCCTTATAAGGATCGTTGGCCCCTTTCAATTCTCTGTTGAGTATAACACTATTATAACGTATATTCCTCTATAGTACCTACTATAGGTACCTACTTAAAATTAGGTTTATAATGTGTGCTGCGTATATCGATGTGGATTTTTTCAGATGATGGGTGTGTTGGACAAGATTTTGATTTTCCAAAAAAGAAAAGAAATACATGCATGTACGAACGTGGTTGTTTTTTTAGTTGTTTTCTTCTAGTTTTTTTGAACTTTAAAATTTAAATGCTTATAAAAAAAAAACTGTGACTAAGATTTTTAAAATTTTTCATTTTCCTTTGAAACAATATACTAGGAGCCTTCTATTAAATTTTCAAGCCATTTTTAACCAACAAATAAAATTTTATTGATATTTTTAGAAAAAAAAATGTTATCGTGTATAGAAAATGAAAATATAAGCAACCAGTAAAAATGTCATGTACCTACAGTCATTTGTTTTAAAGGTACACCAAAATCCAAATTCAATTTTTTGAAAAATCCAGTTTTTCCTTAATTTTTTTTTTTTTTTTTGGCGCTTTTGAAGATTAATTTTAAAATTGACCTCCCCAATTGACCAACGATAATCACTTTCCAATCGAACAAGATATACTGAAGTTGAAAACCGAAGCATCATTTCGACTACTTATCGTGAACACACAAAAAAAAATAAAAAACACACATCATTGTAAAATCAATACATTTATCGAATCTCAAGAAATTAACTCAGAATCTAAAATTGATTGTACTTTTTTTATGCAACACAAAAACAAACAAATTTTAACCACATCAACTACAATTAAGTAGTCAGTCCTAAGTCTGAATAATGTGGGAACTTACGTATTTATACACGGGTGTCATTTTTACCTAGTATATCTAGTGTGGGAACTTACATTCGCCAAATTCACCGGTCTCCAACACGTTAATGACATGTCGGGCCGCAACTCAACTATAGCCAAAATATTTACTACCAAAATAGGTGCCTGTACCTGTATTTGGGAATTTGGGAGCCAATTAAATTGCGCCGAAATACTTATTGTTATGAACTTTAGATAATATTATTACTTGTTAAGTATATAGAACCGTAGGACGAACCTATAATATGCATATTTTGTTGTACACATAGGGACTTTAGGTTTGGTAATTACAACTTACAAGCAGAGTAGAAAATAGGTAAATCCAGTATCGAACACTTCAACACTTGCAAATTGCAATAGGTACTGAAAAATACTTACATTACGACCTTTAACGATTTTCTTTTTGGCAATTACTTTCGTAGCATGAACAGTACCAGTTTTTTTGTGAGTTGTCAATGCAACAGAACCGAAAGATCCTTCATCCAATATGGTTGTCACACGAAAGTCCGAAGCATCAGCTGGTGGAAAATTATTATTATTAAAGTAGATATCATTAAAATCTTGTCTTTTTTGGTTCCAGAATTCGGTAAGGCCACATGACGATGTTTTACTGATCGACAAATCATTCCTGCCCTTCTTTTGTCTAAATGATAAATTACCCATAGATTTTTTGAGAAAATAAAATTAATTGTGTGGAATAAAATAAAAATGTAAGTATAGGTGTAGCCGTGTACATGTGCGTACTACGTACATTATAGTATTTTGTACAATAAATATAAAATATAAAATAAAATATGGTTGTTTGACCTTGTTGTTACTAAGTAATTTAAGTTTTTACTGCACAGTAAACATGTTGTGTTGAGTATAATATTAGGTATACAAATAACAAAATATATATTATAATAATATTTCAATATATAATTAATCATTTAATAATAATACACAATGGACATTTATAGGTCTAGATACAGAATAGATGATTCGCGATAGGTATCGTCGGACCTATCCTGTTATTTTCAGTCCCCACTATTCTTCCCACTTAAGGGGGCGGCAACCGATGGAAAAAAAGTGACTTTTAGACCAATAAGCTAGACAAAACTGGAAGAATTTGGTTTGACAGATTTTAATTTTAAGTCACTTTTTTCTATTGACTGGAGCCCTCTCCAGGTTTATTTTATGATAAGGAATTTAAATATATTAAAAAATATTATAACAAACAAAATTAATGTTTATATTGGTCAAATCTACATTAGTTTTGACTTTTGACAAAACCTGCAGCAACCTCCTTGGCTCCTTAACGCATTATTTGTATTGTGGGTTACTCCCGTACTGTTCTTGAAACAGGTTTGAAAGTTAGGATACCAAGTACGGCGCAAAAACAGTTCGTTATGGATTATCGATGGAGGCAAAAAAATTGTATGCGGTACTCGTGCTGGAAAATGGAAATAGATTTTGGTCTTAGAGTTAGGAACAAACAAATTAAACTGGTACAATAAATTTTAATTTAAAAAATAATAATATAAAAATTTGTGAATTTAACCACAGTATCTATTAATAATATTTTGACTTAATTTGTAGAAATCATCATTCAAGTTTTATTATTATTTATTTATACAACAACTATACCTACTTAGACCATAACTTAAGTTATTGTATTATCCTGTTACCTACCATAATTACTCAATATTAAAAATAAATAAATAATTTGATTTAATTTACCTAATACAGGTATATATCTACCTAATACAGGAAAACTTAATAGTAGTATTTGTTAAGGCTTATTTAAATAAACAATTGTCTAGGGCATCCACTGAAAGTTGCTAAATAGATTACAATAATACATCTATAGAAATACTATATATATAGGTAGGTAGTTTTTATTAACTTAAATTATCCACAAGTGGAGTAAATTGAATATGAAGTTATTTACTAGGTCAATGACAATGTAATAGATCTTTATTGTACGTTTTGAGTCCCCCACAGGTCTTTACATATTTTAATTTTTTCAACGGCTCAACAATCCAACTTTAAAAATCCAATTTAACTTGAAGTCCATACAATTAATCTTTTTGTGTAACAAAAATACAACGTACCGAAATATTCTTTTTTTTAATAAAAGGCTACCTAAATGTGTTTTTGATATTTTAAAATTAATATAAGTGTCTAATGTCTATAGCTTATCAGGAAACTTGTATTCTTGTAAATTTCCCAGTTTTTTGACAGAGCCTAAAACATTTGATTGACTTTTATAAAATAATTAAAAAACTTTAAGAGCCGTATTCATAGTTGATGCTTAAGAGTTAAGAATAAGTATTTCTTAAGCTATATTTATGACTCAAATGAGATTTATAAACGAGACTTTGGCTTAAGAAAATAAAAAGAATTACTTCAATTAAGGTTGGTCAAGACGTACCTTAAACATTGCGTTTTATTGTTATTTTCACAAAATTTTATTTTTTTAATTATCATAATTAGCTACTTATTCTTAAGCATTGACTATGAATACGGGCCTAAATGCCTATAAATACCTTCAAATGTATGTTAATATTTTAAGACTGCAGTGACGGGTAAACGGTCACTTTGTACAGTTCATTGTTTAAAATGCTTAAATGTAACTTTGTACTATTATATACATAAAGTATACCTGTATTTAATATAAACAAGTCTGAAGTCATGACCAGCCCATGTTACAAAGTTTAAATATTATTTGGTAAATCTAGGTATCATACATTCATACATTCCAAATAGGAAGGAATCGTGGGTTATTACCTTGGTATCTAAAATAATTTTTACTCTTTATTTTGATAATTTCAAGATTTTTAATTCATCAAGTTTCTAAATTTATTTCTAAATTTATTATAGCACTAAGTAATATTTGACAGTTATCTAACCAATTAATTAAAAACACTGATTATTTTGACTAGGTATATAGTCAATATATTATATTTTAAAACATTTTTAATTTACTTTTTATTTGGGGAGTGGCTGGGTGTATTTGGCTCCAATATATTATTTTCTGCACCTCATTGGCCTGCACATAAAATTTATAAAAGCGCCAATGGTCAATGAATAAAAGTTAAGCTACCTAAATATTTTTAAAACCATAATGCACAATTCATATAATATAATATAATATATTAATATTAATGGAAGTAATTTGTGTTTATTATTAAGAGGACGCAACACTCACATTCGTTGTCTCCGTCTTACAAGTGCGTAACATACCAAATTGTAGGCTCCGCAGATCACGTTTATCTCCTTTAGTTTAACAGTTAGAGTAAATTGACCTCCTATTCAATTTAAAGGTAAGATTATTATCGAGAGCATCTCATATCCTTTTTATTATATTTTAATTTTAGAGCGAATTATTACTATTTTAAAATTGTAAATTGTTTGTACATCTTAAAATACACGATATTCGTTTTAAAATTAAAATATAATAAAATGCCTATGAGATGCCCTCCACAATAATCTTACCTTTATATTTAATAAGAGGTCAATTCACTCTAACTTTTAAACTTACGGAGATAAACGTGATCTGCAGAGTGTAAAATTTGATATGTTACGCGTTTGTAAGACGGAGACAACACATGCGGGTGTGGCGTCCTCTTAAGGTATATTATCATATTTATTAGTGTGCATGACAAAAGCTATTTTCAACTTCAAACCTTTCAATTTTTTAGTTCATTTAAATATTAAAATATATTATAACCCATCAACAGCATACCTAGTTACATACAACATACCTAATATACTTAATACATATATCCCAAGTGTATTTACCCATAAGCTATAGCCTATGGCTAGTAGATAGTTTTGCCTTTAATTCTTAAAATATTTTTTGACAATCACCTGATATCCCTCCTCCCCCGCCCACAGGAATACACCATCGATTATAATACTATATTTAAGCCTTTAAAATATTTGTATAATTACAGTACCATAATATTTTTATAATATTTTATGACTATGTTATGTTTATAATACATAATACATAATTATCCACTGTTGATCAACTCATTTATAATATTTTTACTTATACCTATCGGGTATTTAAGTATTTTATAGTTGATATATTTTCTAAAAACTCACATAAATTAATCAGTTGAAAATATTTGTGAATTATAGTATACCTAATACTTTAACAGTTAATGATCTTACTAATTAGGTTATTATTTTTAGTATAAAAAATGTTCAAAAATTTAAAATTACTTTTTCTAAAATATATTACTGATCACACCATTTTCTCTTTTTAATTTATAAACTGAACAATAATTTATTAAAAGCCAAAACACAATAAAAAAAAATACATTTATTTTTTAATTTTTAAGTACTATGTTTATATTGGTGTTATAAAGTAGCATATCTATGTATTGGGTTATATAAAAAAAAAGTTTAAAAAGAGTAAAAAAATACACATACATTGAGTGTTAAAAAAATGCAAAATAAATACATATATCATATATTTAACTTAAAAGTTAATACATCAAGACAGAATTGGTTTAGAGATTCTTAATTATAAACGACCATCTATAGCATAATATGTATTTTATGTAAAATGTTCACATTTTCATACAGATTTTACCAACTCAAAAGGTGATACAAATGTAAGAGTATAAATAATATAATAGTTTATCCATCCCATAGGGGAACCATTAGGAATGTTGATGCTTAGGCTTTTTTCTCTTCAGCTATGACTAAAAAAAAAAAAGTAATTAATAATTTAAATTATAAAGTTAGGTATAAAATTTAATTTGTATTATTTCATATTTGTATACAGGTAACTTTATAAAATAAATGATACAAATGTGAAATGAAATTACACCAAATTAATATTAGTATAGACTTTTTTTTAAATTCTTACTATTCATATAATAAATATTAATAATGTAACCTATTATAAGTATTATTGACTGTAGGTACCTTCTTTAGTGGGCAATGGGTTTTTTTCTTCAGTTACTGTGGGTTTCAACTTTGCGGTGTCAAAGTTCTCAATACCGGCAATTAATTGTTGTTGTTCCTTTTCGGCTTCGATCACTAAAATGAAAAACAAATAAATACTTATAATTTTTAATAATTTATAGAAAACTCTATAATTGTAAAAATAATTTAAATTGTGTATATAGGTAGTATATTAAATTATTAGGTAAATACTGACCAGTCTTATCAGGGAGTGGATTTTTTTCTTGAGTCTCGGTGTGTTTCAGTTTGTTAGTATCGAACCCACCAACACCTTCAATAAGTGCTTCAGTGATGGCTTTTTGGGTTTTTTCTGCAGCTACGTCTACAAATGAAAAATTGTATTACTTATCTAATATCTATATGATAACTATTCAGTTTTTGTGAATTCTTTAATACGGAACAAATAAATATGTTTAATTTTAATGTGCCACCATCTAAAACAGAAACATAATTTGTAGGTATTTAAACTACCTATTATAATATATACTATACTATATAGGTAATAAATTATATGCATGCATTTTTTCAGAAAAAATTAGACACGAAAAATAATTTATAGCATGAGCACACTCACCTTGAGCGTTCGGCAAAATTACTTTTTCCAGAGTATCTGTTCTTTTTAGCTTGTCCGCGCTAAAGTTATTGACGCCATGGATGAGATCATTATGTTGGCGTTCACGCTTCACGTCTTTATTTTAATCCAAGAAAAAAGCAACAGCAAGCAATTTAACATACTCATATGTATATAAGCAAAAGCATGAAAATTTCACATACCTAACTATGAAATTTACACACACAAGCAACACATTTATAGTGGCATTTAGCAGACTATTTAAACTTATAAAGCCATTTAAAATAACAAATACTTTAAGCATTGGTGTGCGCAAGGAATATGCCTGAACTGTATACTTTGGGACTCCAAGAAAGCGCCCGTATTTAGGTACCTATCTACTTGAAACCTGGAAGTCTATTTTCTCATAACTCAATTTTACTTTCTAAATTTTTTTTTTTATTTTTGTGTTTCATTGTCTCATATTAATTTAAAACTCGTTATTAGTGTACAGTTATTACTGACTATACAATTTTAATTTTGGTAGTTCTAGATTTATAGAGATTTAAAAGTTTATTAATACCGACAAGTATAAAAAAAAAATTGGCCTAGGAAATATATATTGAAGAAGTTACAAACGAGCTCAAACTCCACATGTCGGTAAAAAGGCTACTTAGCTTTGTCAATAAATATTTTTTTATAAAAAGTTACCAACAAATAAATTGTGTTTTAATATACCTGCACTTTTTTTTAGAGGAAGAAGTCTTTTTTGTGATTAGAATTTTCCTTTAGATACATTATTTAGATAACCTGCCAATGATCTAATTATGTCTGTCATACAACAATGAGTAATGACTTTAAGCTTAGGTTTCAAAATGACAAATCTATATTATATTTAACATGCTTTGAAAAACATTATAATATATTGTCGAATTTCAAATTTACATAGTAATAAATAATAATAGATACTAAAAATGAATGCTGCATTGACATTCTCTTAGTCAATGCAGCATTCATTTTTTCCCTCTGGCTTATGCGCAACATACCAAATATTCACGTTTAGCAGAACCAACTACGTGTTGTTACTTTTAATATTATAGAGAATTCACCTATTACGCCAAACTTTAAGTTCAGAATACATTACCTGTGGCTGTGTCGCTACGTTCGCTTTTTTACAATATTTTAATTTCTATGTGATTTATAAGAATTTTAAAATTGTAATAATTTACAATTTCATAACTTAAACAAAAATAAAAATATCGTAAAATAGCGACAATTTTAATGTTATTAACTTTAAGTTTGATAACAGGCGATTTCACTCTAATATTAAAAGTAGCAACATAGGGTTTGTTTCTGATGCACGTAAATTTGGTATATTACGGGTGAGTCATAGAGAGAAAAATAATGGTGCGTTAACATCCTCTTAGTATTATTATTTTATAAATAAAACTAAAAGAAAAAGAATTGTGCATAATATACTAAAACAAATTCAATGGTAGAAATGTATTTAATACAATGTCAGGAAATCTCACACAATACACTCAAATGGGTAGTAATTTATTAAACTAATAAAATAATAGTTAATTCATCAGAAATGAAAAAGCTTTAGTAAATTTGTTTTTTTTATAAGGCTTGGGATTCAATTACTCATACGCACACTAAACTGATACAAGCATTTCAAACGATCAAAATAAGAAATAAATAATGATTGATAAATTGTATTTATTATTTGGATTATTAAATAAGTAATTACCTTCAGCAGTAGGAAGAATGATTTTTTCATTAGTATCAGCCTTTTTCATATTGTCGGGATTGAACCCCTCGAGTTGATTTTTAAGGTCGAATGCTACCTTTGGCAGATCTTTTAACGACGGAGAACTCATTTCTATAAAAACAAAAATTACATTAAATCAAGAGCAGTAGTATTATAGTGTTAATAAAGCTACCCCGGGATAATACTAAAAGTAATGTATTTAAATTTTTTTCGAAAGGGGTGATTCATGCGATGACTCATATACTAAATGGGAAAAAACTCATAACCCTTGGGCATTGAGAGCTCATACCGATTAAACCGAGCACAAAATCTACACACGCTTATGCCATTTTAACTCCATATATTCTGTACAAAGAACATAGTATGCATTTATGCATTACCCACCTATATAATTTAAAATTAAATTATTTTTTTTAAGAAATTATATTTTTATAAAGAAACCTTATTAAAAAAATATCTATGATGTGTAAGTACGGTTATAATAAACGTATACAACGGAAATAGAACCCCCCCCCACCAATGTGTTGAGATTTATTTGTTGTATACACATTTGTCAGTAAATAATGCATTGAACATTTGGGGGATGCTGAGACATTATCGATTACGCAGGGGGTATCAAACTGGTGAAACAACGTACCCCCAATCCTATCCAATGGCTACACATTTAAATATATATAATATGTGTGCTATGTAACTATAAAATATAAAATTATAATGCATTTTCGTGAACGTTCTAAGGAATTGAAAGTGCAAAAACGTGTTTTTTACTAGTTGACATCAATATAAATCATTTAAAACCCGATTCATATAGTTTTTCCTCGAAATCGTAAACCTTTTTGGTTTTTATGTAACAAATCTTATAAATAATATATAAAACGAGGAAATAACATAATTATTTATATTAATTAGCTCCTAAAAAGAAGTAAAAATACTAAAAAATATATTTTTAAATAATATTATTGTTCCTATTCTTATACCATAATTTCATATTAATATTTTGTTAACATTAACGTTATCCTGGTAAAATTATGCACATCTCGAAGTTTCGAATTATTATTAAATAAAAGTTGTGTTAAAACAGGGTGTGTCTGTCCAGGGTCGACCGAGACTTGGAACCACTGGTAATTCGGGGACCCTACAGATTGATTCTATCTGAACACACAACCATAGAAGGGTAGAGCATGATTGTATGCCCTTTAATATGTTTATTCACGTGCGACGTCCCCATTTCGATGAGTTAAAACCTACTAACCGGGTGAGCTTTACAAGTATTTTTGTGATGTCAATCTTGATAAATATTTTTTAAATATTATTACAGGTTATATTTGTTTTTAGATAAAAGTATTTTCCTGGTATCATTTGATTTGCAGGTCCCGATATCGCATTTTATTGCAACAATTTTTAGATACTATTAAGACTTAAGAGGATGCCACCCATGCATTTGTTGTCTCAGTTTTACACACATACGACATAGCAAATTTTCGTTCAATAGTTTCATTAGTGTGCTGTTAGTTTTGATATTAGAATGATTTGACCTATTATCATTTTTTTAGATGATAACATTATATGTGCTTAATCGTTGGCTTTTATTCACGATATTTTAATTTCTGATACTTCACATACCCATATCTTGCTTGAAAATGAAAATTTCGAAAAATTGGCAACGCTTAAGCACAGATAATATTCTTACCTAAAAGTTTTATAATAGGTCAATTCACTCTAGTATCAAAACTAATAGAAAACGATTGAAACTAGTGAACGACAATTGTCTATATCGTGCGTAAGACGGAGACACCAAATGTATGGGTAAATATATTCAGAGAGCCAACGTTTGATATTAAACATTTGTCAATTTGTATAAAATATAAAATCATTTATTTACAAAATACATTAGTAGGTATAACGCGTATGTGTACGTTGTACGCCTTCTAACCAATGTAATGTGGTATAATATTAACTCACTCTTGTATAAAATATTAGTCAGTATAAAATGGGGAACTACATACACACTCACATCAGTCACACATAAGTGAATTTATTATAACTGTTATAAGGTATATTTAACATTTTTGATTATAAATCATAAAGACTCGACTAAGTAGGTATAAAGTGGTAATTGATGATCAGCCATTTAGAACTTCCAAACATCCACATTTAAAATCATTACTAATTAATTGTTGATATGGATCGGTGCATTTGTATTTAAATTGGGTCATTCACCCGAAAACGCATACAAGACACGAGTTTACTCTAAAGTAATTAGACTTCTTTTTAACATAATTTAAAACTATGGATATAATACCTGGGCAATAAAAAAATTTAATATTATTAAATTTGAAGACAATAGACCACATATAAACTTAAATTAAGCTGATTAAAAAGCAAAAATTAATCCATACATGTTTTATTCAATTAATATAATTTATAATTTATAATTAGGTAAGTAATTTAATTTAAAATATCAAAAACATAATATTACTCAAACAGTCATGAAGTTTATTCTATAATATAACACCATTTGCAGTTTTCAATCTACGGTTGTATATTAGAAAGATGAAACAGTTCGTCATTGAAGTAATACTATGTGTATTAAAAATCATTTCCTTGTACGGTAAATAGGTCTTGAAACCAGTATTAGCTCCATGGTCTTTCTTTCTCTGTTAAACCGTTTTCTCGACGCTATATTTTTTTTTATAATGTATTATTTTTAAAGACAATGATTATGTAGATGAGCCATGTAACCGTACATTTATCCCCATGGCTACCCATCCATCTGATGGTATAGGTGTATGATACATCCAAATATGTATATTGTATACTATTTTATACTTTCTTCGAGTCCCAAAACAGATATTAGGTATTTATCAAATACCAACAAGATGAATGATCGAAAGCCAGATGAATACATAAATGGACATATTTTTTATTTTTTTTTTAAGCGCCGCATGTATTACTGCTTTTATGATAATCTATGTATTAAAAAAATGTTATACCTACCTCAAAATAAAAAAAAGAAAGGAGAGACATGTAGGGCATGGCTATTTACTATTGTTTAATGTTTACTATACGGTATTCGCTAATAAACTATTGTCATGTAAAGCAAAAGAAATATGTATATTTCAAACAATAAAAATTGTGTACTTATTTCATACGACGTATCACAATTCACAGAGTATCAAACAAGCAAACACGAAGAACGTGTTAAATATTAAAGATAATAATTCAAACAATTTTTTTTCCTTTTGAAAACGCGCATTATATAGAACGTATCAATAAAATATAATATAAATATTGAACATTTACATTAACGGTTATGTGTTATGGTCTTATGGCATTAAAAATATACGGAACAGAAATAATGAACACCGTAAATGCATACGTGTTTCTATATAGAGGTACCACTGTATGAAACATGAGACCTTAAAAGGTAAAAATCCTTGTTATGCATCAAAACGACTTACTAAACATGTCAGTTTTTTATATTATGCGTACCTATTGACAACGAGTCTTACAAAAACTATTCTCTACGTATTATTTGTATGATTTAACCATTAAAGAATTATACGATAAGTTTAAAATTGTATGCCTACATAATTTAGTGTAAAATATTCAAAACACATTTTCACAGAAAGAACACCAATTTTATACCTAATAGGTAATTAAATTCGTATTAAGAAATAAAAAGTAAAACGTATTAATATAAACTTAAAACTTCTTATTTACCACAACTCTCAAGTCACAACAAACAAAAATAAAATTATTAAAATGGTATTCAATGTAATATATTATTATTTAATACTTGGCATTATTATTGTAGAGAATTATTAATATACGGCCAATCAGAAATAAATGAGTTAACACTAAGATTGCTTTAATATTATTGACTCTAAATAACTACATAGAGTTTGAAGCATAATCATGAAATTAATAAGAAATTCAAATTCAATTTAAAATTCATGCAGCATTAATTTTTGTTACTCAGTAAAACTTTGTTAGTAAGGAATTTACTAGTTTATTCTACAGTATGTCCTATATACTCCAATTGAATAACAGATGATTAATGAGTGTGATTCATTCTTTTAAATTAGTTCCCTAGTGATACACTGCATATTGATATGAGTCATATGATTATATGAATGATAATATGTCCCATACCACACAGATATAACTATTTATATTTATCATACCATCTAATCTATTTATTATATGTTTATTATTTATATCTGTATCAGTGTTTATACAATTATACACAAGTTTGTGACGTTTGTCTCAAAAATAAAAATATTGGTAAGTGATATCCACAAGATTATTTAATGTACCTACACGAATTCCATCCTTGTTACCAAAATTATTATACAAAAAGCGTCCATGTGTAGATTAAATTAATTATTTTTAATGTTTGAATTCAATAATTAAATATTGTACTTCTATTAATGGGTAAACGGACGTTTCGCCCCCGCAGTTTCGTCCCCGTCAAAAAAACCAGTACACGGACGTTTCGTCCCCGGCAATTATTGAGATAGACGTTTCGTCCCTGAGAGTTATTAGCCATAGGACGTTTGGTCCCCGGTATACTTATTACTTTTATAATCTAAATACATTAATTTTTAATGAACAATTTAATCTTTAAATGACAATACTACAAAATATACAAATACATAATCAATATTCATACAATACAATTACAATAAGTCAAGATTTAAATACATTATACATCACAATATTGTATTAAGTCAACACAAATTGTAGTACAAATTAATAAATTAAAATTAAATACTATAATATAAAGATAAAAATATATATTTATTTTTAGGTAACTGACTTATGTTTTTTAAATAGTATAAAATGTGAATTGTAATTATCGTCATTATATTGAAATCCCGTACAATATAATATTATTATGATTGTAATTTCTTTTCCTTAAAACTAACTATTTTCGGTACATTTATTATTTCATTTTGTTTTTGTACCAATGCAGTCGTTGCAGACGCATTTCACATCTGTATTGAATACTCTCTGTATCAAATACTCTTAAAATAAAGTAGTTAAATAAATATATAATATTACATTGTTATAATGTTTAAGTAAAACCACGACGGCATGGTATTT